TACTAGACTAGTGGTGGGGTCCCGTGGTTCCTATACCGCCGTGTTTCCTGGTCCTTTTCTTTTAGTGCTTCGACCCGAAGCAATAGCTTCTAGCTAGTTCAGTGGCTAAGATGGCTGCGCTCCAGCTCACTCAAGAATGGGACGGCAATGGTCCGCCGGTAAGCTCGTTCTGATCTTGGGTGCAGTACATTGGAATCCTGAAGCACCACCACGAAAGCTACCGCGCGTTCACCTTCGGTGCGGTAAGGCACCACCCAGTTGTGCCAGCAGCCAACTCCGACGTGTCAGCTTAGTTATCCTCATCAAGCCACTTACTTAATGTCTAGCTTCCCAACAGGTAGACGGTTCCTTTTCCTCCAGATCAATGAAGAAGGGAGAAGTGTGTGTATTCTTCCGAATCCCCGAAAGCGAAGCGCTATGCCGGGGCGGGGGGACGGGACAAGAAACGGCTTCGAAGAAAGCTATTTTGGTTCCCAATGTTTCTTCACGCCCAACAAGATGCGTCAACCTCGGGATGCTTTACTCCTAACCCCACAAGGTTCCGAGACGGAGCTTAACCTGAGTCTCGGTTAAGTTCGTTCTCTCTCGGCAACCTCGGGATACCTCATGTTTATGCCTACCTCCTCCTTATTTCTCATATCAGTCGAGTATTTCATTCATGCATTTGACGTAAAATTTTAAACATTTCCTTAGGCTATTTTTTCACGACCTCTACAACTGACATTGTCATTCGTATATGGGAGTCTTATCTTTGCCAAGAAAAATAATAAACGTGGTTTGGTATTTCTCAGTAAGTAGCCCCAATATTAAGATCTAGAGATGTTATCAAGATGCTCAACTTTACGTTGTCACGTGGATTGGTCCTTACGTGTGTGGCGAGTGGAACTATGGAGGACTTCCTCTATGATTGCACAATATATCGGGAATCCAACTACGAACTAACAACCAAGTGTACACGAATGAAACACAAACTTTCACACCAATAGAGAATATGTGTAAACAAGTCACCCTCTTTCATCACATGGAGGGTCAATAATCTTAGCTCAAATAGAGAATGAGTATGGAAAGGTGATGACACCTTCTTATGGAGTAAGCATAATGATATTGGTGTGCTCAAATGGCTTAATCTCTCAATATTGACATTCCATAGATCATGTAAAATGGATTCTATTGTGATTGCTTTGCTCCTAACCATCCTAAGAGTCCAAAGATGTTTACTAAAAATTACTGCAGAAGATGTAGCATTTGCTATGGCAAGATTTTTTCAATCTAGTGACGTGTTTAATATTATTACATGTATCATGGAGGTAACAACTTTGGAAGAACATCACGAGGTCCATTCATCAAAGCGTCTTATGATTACAATGCTCTGGGAGAAAAAATTATCACTAATGGTTCCCGCTCAGACCGAAACTTTGGTAGTTTTGTAACTTTCATGAAACTCTCTATGATATATGACAAATCTTCAAGATGTGGCTCTCCAAGTGAATACAAAGAGTCATATACTTCATGCTTTCTTAAATAAATAGAAGGTACATTAGGTCAGAGGGCGAGCAATGCAGAGTTTTGTGTAAGAGAAATCCATCCTATTAAGATTAGGACCAATACCAAAACCATTTTGAGTGTCATAGTTGGGCTGAAGAATTCGATGCATTTGTTACAAAGTATCAACGTGAATTGATGGCGGTCTCATTATCTAATTGGAGATGGAAATGTCACAATTGATTTTTCATCAAAATTATAGTCTTATAAAGTTGAATTAAATGGAGAAATGAAGCTATTTTACACCCAATAGAGTGCGTTAAATACAAATCTACGAGAAGGCGTATGTTTTAAGCCCTTCAAAAACTGACTTAGTAGCATTGGACATGCAAAAAAAAAAAAAAAGGGCAAAGGCGTGACTTGGGTAAATGGGTGAAGCATAGATCAATTTTGGTCTTCTTTCGTGGCTAGCAATGGTAGCTGCAGTGCGACCTCTGACTACCTGGGTGCATATGACCCTAGCAAATGTGTTGGAAATTGTGGAAATCCTTTCCAAAGATGGTATCTCGTTTAAATCGTTTCTTTCCGATGACACAAACACATTAATTTTATTTGAAAAAGTTGATCGGATAAGTGTCCGTTTGAACTAATTATAAAAACTATATGCGAAAGTCCACCCTAGACCGAAATAGGGTTTTTAAATTTATAAATAAATTGTGCAAGCGACAAAAATGTTCTAAAACTAGACCCCTCGAAATTTTAAACAAATAATATCTGTTTAGTTCTCTAATTACTTGCATGTGTTAATTTTAAATTAAAATATTAATTGTTGTTAATTTCTTTTCATTAAATCAAAAATTAAAACAATTTTTCACAATTAAATTTTGATTTAAATTTCAATAAATATATTATATAAAAAATATGTTTAAGTTTTTTTTTTTTTTTTTTTTTTTTTTTTTTTTTTTTTTTTTTTT